TACAAAAGGGTGTACATAAAAATGTTTTTATTTAAATTACTAAACTAATGAAACATAGAATACTAATTTTAAATAAATTATATATGTTACAAAAATAAAAGACAACACGAAATCCTAAAATGAGTGCACTCATGCACATGTTTTAAAAATTCCAATAACTAGAAAAAACACTAAGTTTGCAACACTGTGTATGTTAAGTAGAGGTATAGCCGGCTTTTATTCATATTCATATTCATACTTTATTTTGCTCCTTAAATTTACAGAATAAATTACAAGCAATCGTCAAAATACTTAAAATTAATTAAAAAAGAAACTATCATATATAGACCAAATAGAACTAAAAGATTAACTTATTTCAAAAATAGTTATGGGTGAATATCCAAAACGGGGATAAATTGGGGTGGTAAAAAAATAAAAAGCAAAGATTAATAAAACACTGGCAAAATAATACCTCAATGTGTATTTCTTAATAACATAAAGTAATTTCAAGGCGGCTATAAATTAAACTTAATACTTCTATTATATAACAAAAAATAAATGAGTCCATGGAGTTGACGTTCTGAACCATGGAGTTGACTCAATAACACAAAAACAACATAAATCTAACCTTGCATCAATCATCCAAATCATCCAAATCATCTTCTGAATCTGAATCTGAATAGATGTCAGAAAAGAACCATCTTTTAGCAAATGTTTGCAAATGATTTTTAACATAAAAATTTCCTAATCCATAACTAACTAATAGAAATTAACGGAAATAGAAAAAATAGTATAAAGCACTCGTGGCGAAAGACATTTCCGCACTCGTCCTTTACGGCACTCGCACGCTTCGCGGCTCGTGCCGTAATTTCGGACTCGTGCGGGAAAACAGTGCCTTTCGCCACTTGTACTTTAATATACTATTAATACTTTTATTTAAATAGAATAATATTACACAGAAAAAACACTAGCATAGCATGAATGGGTGAACCATTAAACCAATGGGATCTTGTAATCCGTATTCCTGAATAACAGTTCCTATAATACCAATAGGTAGTTAGCACTTGGTTTATAATCGTTTACTGTTTTTAAATTAACAACAAAAGTTATCGCTCCTAAATCTATTGATATTCATATTGATATTTATTTGTTAGAATGGTAGAATGTTATTGCATTAAATACTAATTTGATTTATTTAATAACTTTACTATTGTATGTATACTATGTATACATTTAACGCAATAAATTCTTTGACATTTAGGCAAAATATTTCCCTATTTTGGTTTAATAGTAATTAATTGAGCAAATAACAATTTAGATTGCTTCAATTTTAATGCATTCAATGACAGCGCTGTTCTTGGTACTATGTTAGATTTTTTTCTGTGTATTCTTAAAAAATGCAAATAAAGGAAAGAAAATTCGATCTTTCAATTGCCAGATATCCGGCCGCCGGATATCCGGCTTCGATTCTTGCCGGATATTCGGGATCCGGTGTCTGGCCAAACAACTATCCATTTCATCTCTATATGTATATGCTGTATATTAGGGTGTTTCAAAAAAATCGACTTTTTCTTTTTCTTCAAATGGTCGGCAAATTCTTTCAGAGGATGTCAACACAAAGACCTCGTCAAAATTTGAGCTTTTAATTTGAAGATTTAGAGGTCGCGGATCGCAATTTTCTATTTCCCATTTAAATAACATGGCAATTTTTTTTTTTTAACTTTGAAATTTTATACGTCTGAATCAAATCAACTTATGTCAAGGATCATCTTAGATTTTCATAGTAAATTTAACGCTCTACAAAAAAGGTCTCCTATCATTTTTCTATAAATTGATTCCTTCCAGAGTTATTCGAGGCCAAAGTTTGATTTCCATCGAATTTTCGCGTTTTTTTAACATTTATGGTACAATTATCATTATACGGGTGTCCCGAAATCAGGGGGCCAAACTTAAACAGTGCATTATTCGTATAAAAATAACACTTTTTTTGTTTAATAAACATGTATCAAAAAATGCTCCCTAAAGGAGCTACGGCCCCCTGAATAGGAGCCTACGAGGATAATTTTTTTAAAATTATTCCTATAGAGGGTTGAACATGAACAAATGAATTTTCGGTAGGTACTTTGGTAATTTTGACATGCTGAATCTAGATCTATGATCAAAACTGTTAAAATTTAATCATTGGCGTAACATTTGGAGGGGGCAAAGTTACAAAAATAGCCCCAACTTTTTTCTGGGTTAATAACTTTTTTTTTTTATGAAATTATGAGAATTTATAGTTTTTTACGAAAAATAGGTACTCTTGATTTGAATTGCTCAGATGCACCATTTTCGAGAAAAATGCATTTATAAATAAATTACTTTGCATATTATACACATCTCATATTTTCATTAAAACTTTGTAGTAGGCTTTGGAAAAAAGTGACGTTTTTTTGTTTTTTTGTTTTTTTTACAACACTTCCTATGTTCCAGATATAAATATGTGATTTTTTTACTACATGATGCTAAAAGTTGAAAAAACGAGAAAATTCGATGGAAATCAAACTTTGGCCTCAAATAACTCTGAAAGAAATCAATTTATAGAAAAATTATAAGAGACATTTTTTATAGAGCGTTAAATTTACTATAAAAATCTAAGATGTTCCTTGTCATAAGTTGATTCGATATAGACGTATAAAATTCCAAAGTTAAAAAAAAAAATTCCTATGTTATTTAAATGGGAAATAGAAAATTGCGATCCGCGACCTCTAAATCTTCAAATTAAAAGCTCAAATTTTAACGAGGTCTTTGTTTTGACATCCTCTGAAAGAATTTGCTGACCATTTGAAGAAAAAGAAAAAGTCGATTTTTTTGAAACACCCTACTGTATATAGTTATAATAATAATACTATTAGAGAATTTTTTTAAAGAAAAATTAAATTAAATTTATTATAATTTAACTATATATTATTAATTATCGTTAATAAATCCTTAACTTATATGAGCTAAGAGTTTAGGGCAATATTAAGAAAGTAAACAACTCCATGGACATACCTTTTAACTCCATGGAGTTGATGTCCATGGAGTTGATGTTTTTATAGTTAAAGTCACAAACTTTAGAAAATGGTACATAATGTATCTTTAGTTAACTGTAATTTAAGCAAAGCATATTTGGTTATTTCACCTGGAGAAAGTTTAAATATCAATTGTATTTAAATCCCTTTGTTATTAAAGACATGGAGTTGATCTTTAATAAAAATACTTACCCGTTTTTTCGCAAATAATTGTTCTTTATAAATTTTTATTAAATATTACACCTCCTTTGCCTTGCTTACACAAATCAACACTAAATCATTCAAACGACGAAGTCTTCAAACATTACTAAAGTACGTTTTATACAGGGGATTTATCATATATTAAAAGACTGCAAAGAACTTAGCTGTAAAATGGTGTCTCATGCTTTATTCGACATTTTGGGTTAAAATATCAATAAGTTTGCTTTTGGTTAAGTTTTTTATACATTCCAAGTTAGAGGAAATGCAATATGGAAGAATCATTTCACAATTGCATCTAGTCTAATAGTATATGGATGATTTGTTGTCCCTACGCTAGGTGGTGACAGTCCATGGAGTTGACTTTAAAGCGTTTAAGCAAATTCAAATTAATAAAATAAATAATGTTTTATTTTTTTCAGCATATTTGCTCCGTTCTAGAGAATCACCCTTATATCACAGTTTAGAAATTCTTGTATGGAGTAAAACGGATTTTGTAAGAAAAAATATTTTAGTTTAAACTTTAACTGTCTTATCTTTAGTAGTATATATTTTTTTGGTAATTTATTATTAGCTTTTATGCCAATATATCTACTACTTTTTTCAAACTTCGCCGAGCGATTTATAGGAATACTTAATAAGTAAGAGTTTCTAGTAGCTATTGAGTTTAAATCACCGCAATGAACAAAATTGTACAAATAAAGTGAAAAAGAGTCATTATTTTATTTTTAATAAACAATGGTTTACAATGACATCTAAGTTTTACTCCAAACAATGTTCTTAAAAAAATTTCTGAATTGTTAAAAGTCTATGAACATGTATCGAGCCACCCCAGATTTAAGCCGATGCACCGCGGTGTATTCACTTTAAACCCAATTTTTCCTAAAAAAAAAAATTAAATATGAAGTAAATATTATATAATATATCAACACTTGACCATTAAAACTAAATTTAATTGCATCAAAAAAATTTGAGCTAACTTTTAGAAACCCAGCGATAGTTTTACTATTAAATAGGTATACTTTCAGGAAAACAATGGTTTAAAATTTTGTGTTACTCTGTATAATTTAAATCTAATAAATACAACAAAAACTCAACAAGTTAAATTAAACTTTTTGAGTTGCAGCTCGTTAAAAATTACGTTATTAAAGGTGTGTGCCGCGCACGCTATTATTTGAATTCCTTACTAATTTTTATGTTTGTCAGTTTGAAAAGTGCTTGATACAATTTTTAAGTCGTTTGTGAAACAGGTATCCGAGAAATAATAACCGGGTATTAGTCGGCTCATTTCGTTTAAATAAATATTATTTTTTAGTAACGTATTATACATTATATATTTTGAAATGTAAAATATTCAATGGCAAAAGTTACTGTTTAATTTTATTTTTTAACCTAACCTAATAATTAATAACATTTGTAAAAAAAGTTATATAGGCATTTATATTTGGATAACGCTTATCAAAAAGAAACCAAGCGCCAAAAACTTTTTCTGGCCTTGGTAAAATTATTTCTAAAATAACTCATTTTTAATAATGCTCAAAAGGTTGATCATCATTTGGAACTTTTCTCAAAATGATTTAGAGTGTTCCCAAACCATTATTAATTAATTAAAAATGAGTTATTTCGCAAATAATTTTGTTTACCCCAGAAAAAATTTTTGGCGCTTGGTTCCTTTCCGATATACGTTATCCATTTTTTGGTGACAAATTTTCATAATTTCTTCACAATAGGGGAAAAGAAAAATTTGTATTTTTTTATATTTTATTACAGGTTACCGTTCCTCAGCAATACCAACCCCAACAACAGCGCATCAAAGACGCTGTTAACAACGAAACGAACTTGAGGAAAACAGTTGCAAACAGTGGAGGAGCCGATATCGACGACTTGATCCATCTTCATGGGCCTTTGACCGAAGACGCTGTCACTAAATGCCTTCAAGCCAGATTTGCTGCGTCAAATTTTTACGTAAGTTAAAACTATAAAGTAAATGCAATTACAATTTTAAATTGTCAGCGATGGACCTAATAGTACCTATAAATATTGATTTTTCCGACCGCAATGTAAAAGTCGCATTTCTTTTTTTCAAAACCATAGAGAAAGTACTTTCTATTTGGCCAAAACTTGAATGAAAGGTGACAGGTCTGTGTAAAAAGTCAGATTACTAAAAAGTGAGAATAAAACAGCTTGAAAGTTGTAAGGTAAAATGTGAAATAAAATTGGCTTTAATATGAAGTAGGTAACTATTTTTTTTTCAAAAGTATAACACTTTTTATATTATACTCAACAATCATAAGCTTAGAGAGAGACTTTATATATATACGCAGTTAAAAAGTCAAATTATTAAGAGTGGTTCCATCTATCGCGTTTAGATCGAAATCAGCAGAGAAAATCTCAAACGTCAAACCTGACAAAATGTCGCAAACTCTATAATACAGTTCGATTTTTAAAAGAAGTAACTTTCGTCATAGATTTAAAACCTGTTTTTCGACATACGTATCACTGAATGCCATTGCTTCATGGCTAGCGCGACTGGGTGTGGAAATACAAAACAATGTCTGAGTTTGATCCGTAAATTAATTATGAAAGTTACTTCTTTTAAAAATCGAACTGTCTTCTTCTTCTTCTTTCTTGGTGGCCTACGGCCTTAATGCTCTCGGTTTCAATGAACCACTTTGACCAGCAACAAGTTTTAATATCCATGCGCTTCACGAAGCCATCCACCCATAGACAAGTGAAATTTCCAAATCTTGGATCATCCACTCAATGTATTGTACAAATCACAAAATACCTCGCTAGAAGGTCAAAGCTTGCGATATTGTCAAAAAATGCAGGTATATTTCTAAACCCGGAATTCAATTTTGTTTCTCCTGGGTCAAAGTCAGCTATGTTTCATACTTTTCATCGAGCAATGTCCCAGAGATAAAAGTGCGATGCACCACACACGAAAGACAAAACTGAGCTGATCGAACTGTAAATACATAATTTAAACGCTGAAAAAAAAACACGGCGGAGAAAGCATATTAACTGCCTCGCTCAGATTTTATATGATAGATTGTGTCAAAAAAATCAAAAATTGAAATCATTATAGACAAAGGCTTCGCCAGCCAATGGGGGGTCATCAATTTTTTTTCTTTGAAAATGAGTCGGATCCGTTAAAAACTTTTCAAAATGGAAATTGGGCAAACTAAAACACTAATTAGAGGGTAAATCATCGTCGAATTAAACCAAAATGGCCAGTCAATTTTTTTTAATCAAAATAAATACTTAATCGGTTTAAATTGGTTTAATTAAATTTATTTGAAATTTTTTTTACCAGTCATCTGTCTAAAGTGGATTAATCAGAGCGCTTTATTGGTTACTTTTTGACCAATCAAAAGTACTAGTACTAGTACAATATTCGCTATAATTTGTACTATATACCGGGTGTATCTGAGAATAGGCGCACCCCTGTAACTTTTTTATTTATAAAGATACACATTAAATTTAGCATGGTTAATTAGGATATAAAATGCCACTTATAAGAGTACAAAATGAATTTTTTGAACTTCTGGTTTCGCCGGAAATGATATCAACTTTCGATTTTTAAATGGAACGCCCTATATATAGTCCAATATTCGCAACAATTAGGTACTTTTGATTGGTCAAAAATTGATAGTAACTACGAGTTGGATAATTTGGGCAACTTAATTTCGATGTCTTTTAATTTTTTTTTTTTTAGTTTTGGTTCAATTAAATTGTGCTCCAAATACCACTCGTAATCAAAAATATATGTCGAATATTTTGAGGTAAGATATTACAAATATCGTTTGTGGTTGCGAATAGTACTGGTGCACTAGTAGGTACTATTCAAAGCAAGCACAAACAATATTCGCTATATCACACCTCAAAATATTCGACATATTTTTAATTACTTGTAGTACCTACCTATTATATGTAAATATTTAGGTACCCAAGGGACATTCCACGAAAATTTGAACTTTTTTGTTAAAAATAAACATTTAATATTTGAATAATAAATTTAAAAGTTTAAAGGCTTAAAATAAACAAAAACAATACAAACTAAATATTAAAATTAAAATGTAGTATTTATTACCTATTTAATTCGTTTATTTTTTAAAACATGAAATGTATGAAATAATATATGATTCCTAAAAATAAATAGTTATTTGTTTTACAAGTGTTGAAAAGCGACTTTTTCATGCGAGTTTTTAAGTTGCCCACGAGGCCGTTAGGACGAGTGTGCATTAACACGAGCTTGAAGAAAGCTTTTCTCACAAGTATAACTCAATGTTTTTTCTGCGACCCTTTTATTTTTTATTATTTTTAAATACAAAACAAAATAACCTAAAAACTTTTTTGACAGCTGAATGTCAAACGATGCTTTCCGGTTCTTTTCACACAGACCTGTCACTTTTCACACAGAAATGTCACTTTACATTCGTGTTTTGCCTTGCCAATGAAAAGATTCATTTTCTAAGCAACGATGCTATCATGAAAAGTGACTTTTACATAGTGGTCGTAGAAAAAAGCTTTTTCTTAGTTTTTATTGACATCCCAAATATTTCTGACAGATTCGACGACTGAAAATGGCATGCACGTAGTTCGTGCCACGTACCTAAAGCGACCACGAGCACTGCTCTTAGAGCAGTGCTCTATAGAGTGGGAATATATTCCCCCCACGAGTGAGTGGAATAGTGTTCTGCGGCGCAGAATCTGCGCATCAATCGTTACTGTTTTTTTTCTCCGTGTACTTTATTACTACACCAAATTCATTTTACCAAAATATAATTTTAACAATTAACAACAATTTAAAAATGTTAAAATTATTTTGTTTGGTACTTTGGTAAAATATTATCAACGCTATTATAATAATTATAATGCTTAGTTTAATGCAAAAGTCATAATTCGTAGTCATGATCAGTTCTTTTAAATTGTTAAAACTGGAGTCAGTTTTTTTAAATATGTAGGTGTGACTTTTTAAACCATGCAAGATTTTTATTTTTGTGATATCCCTTTAAAAACCCCTTTATCCTTGTATCAAACATCCCTGTACATAATAAAATATGTATTTTTTCATTTTATTTATAAATTTTTTCAACAGTATAAACCCATTTTTTGGAACGTCATTAAATCTGGTAGTTAATAATTTCCGTACAATAAACATTAACTGTAGTGCGTGTTAGTGAAACTAGGAGCGTTTTCTATGTCGAGGTGTCCTGTCCTCGGGCAGGCCCACCTTTGGTAAGACCAGAATCTTTGGCGAAGAAGACGAAGACTCGGTAGAAGAAGAGAAATAGTGGCCGCGCTCTCGGCGTGGTATGTAAATGCCCCGGTGGAGGCAGGACTTTTTTTAATTGCAAGTTCACGGCCAAAGCGACGCAGGCCCGGACCCAGGACCCAATCAACAGGTGCTTTTCAAGGTTGCCGCTGTTCAATGACCAATAACATCAACAACAATCCCATCTCTAAACTTTGTTATACGGCCGCCTGTGTTCTTCATTCATAACGTTTTTTTGTTCAACAATGCCTCAATTAACGCCTGATATGCGTGGATGTTATCAAACTGTAATTTTCTTTTATAATTCTGTTCTGAGACAAAAAATCGTTTGTCTACCATGTGAAAAGTTATAAGAGTTTTATTGTAGTTAAATATTTAAGAAGCATTTGAAATTATTATTAATATTAAAAATAAAAATATATTTAATGTATAATTAGCAATTTAGCAATGAAGGTGCCTTACATTAATAGAGAATATTTTTGTGCAGAAAGCCACCTTAAAATTTTAAATAACATCCTGTGGGTACATTGTTTTACATTTTCTTGTAGGGTTCACACATTCAAGATTTTATTTTAATTAAAGTCTATTAATAAACAGATATAATAGTTATTTATGTATTAAGGGCATAATAAGGTTTTTATGGTCCGAGGCGCTATTTCGAGCCCGAGCGCGTTAGCGCGAGGGCTAGAAAAGCGTCGTAGGACCATAAAAACCAGTTATGCCAGCAATGCATACAAAACTTTATGCACGATTAATATATTATTATTTTTAATATGTTATTGTTTTTAAAGACGTTTACGTCAAAGATTTTTTGTTATAATTGTCATATTATAATGTCAACTGACATCAGTCAGTTTTAAAGTTTAAAGATGAATAAAATAGAGGAAGCAGCTAAAATAGCGAAAAATTGCGGCCTGCTGCCGGAAAAATCAAAATCTTTATACGAAAAAACTTACTTCGAATATATCAAATGGTGTAACATTGTTGTTTTTAATTTTTGACGTTTCATTATAGCCCGCTGGGTCATAATAACGCCCGCGGGCTATAAAAAGACGTTTACGTCAAAGAATTTTTGTTATAATTGTCATATTATAATGTCATCGTGCATAAAATTAATTTAATTTAATATGGCAAATTATATACTTATACATGGTGTCCCAAGTATCCTTCTACCAAAAATCGTTATAACTTCGTTATTTCTGGGTATTTAAAAAAAGTAAGTTTTACATGTAAACGGGTCATTTTCAAGAAACACCCGCTTTCAGGAAAATGAAGATCAAAATTTTTTTTTGCCTAAATTGACTTTTGTTTGGATTTTTATAAATAATTAGAGTTTTGTTTACTTACATTTAAGACAGGCAGTGCACTTTTTAATTTTTTTTACGTTTTTTTCAGAAAAATGTGTTTAGCTAGCTTGAAATCCAAAATTTAATTCAATAAAAAAAGTTGTTTTAAAAATAATTTGAAATAAAATGTAGGTACTTAGTTCACAAACTTGACTCCAATTTTTTATTTTATTTTTTATTAAAAATTGTATGCTTTTTTTAAGTATGGATGTTCGTTAAGTTACTTTTTAAAAGAAACCATTCCGATTCTTTGTTAAAAAAACAATACCATTAATATTTTCTTTTAGTCACTGTATTAGTGAGTTAAACTCTAATTTATAAACAGTGTTTATTAAACACGGATTACCAAGTGATAGTGTATAAAAAATCATTTTAAGTATTTTTTTAACAAAAACTAAAAAAGTAACGAAATAGACATTGGCATCACAACGGACAGGACTTAATCAGATAACGTAAAAAAGAAACTATATAGGCTGGTACGATGTTAGAGTAATGCATAAGCAAATCCCTTTTAGTGGTGCTCACTTGCAGAATAACAACTTAGATTTCTAAATTGTAGACACCCTTTTTCTTTGACTATAAGCTGGTGAAGGTCCCTTTTAGTACTTGTATATTGCGTGGAATTTTCCCTTGGATGTAATCAGTAGACTTGTATCATGAGTTGTAATCACAAATAATTTTTAATTGGTTTATCAAAAACTACTTTTAATAAAAGCGACGGTAAATATCCACTTTGTTCAACAAAGTTTGTTGTCGAAAAATTATATTGCGTTACCCTAAATTCCATTGCGTTATCATAAGGTAACATAATGGACTCGGTAACGCAGTGGAAAAAGTTTTGTGAAACCATATTTAAAAAATAATAATAAGACATTAAAGTCATTAATTAATCTCAATGAGCTTTAGTGCCCTAAAATAAACATAAACATGAAAACCAGTATTTTTTCTTACCTTATTTTTATTATTTTTTTGAGTAACTTAGCGGACAAACAATTATTACATTCGCGTTACCCGCACCTGTTTCAACTGATTAAATAAATAAATTTAGCTGGGTAATGTGCAAGTCCGAACATCATTTGTTGATCACGTGAGTGCCAAAAAAGTTTTTTTTAATATTCTAGCTATAGGTAGATTAAAACTAATTATTTTATATATAAATTGTTTACTGTATTAACTAAGGATGTTATGTATTGCTATAAAGCAACACAAAGTTCTGGTTATTCAATATTTTAAAAAAATCATGTATGTAAGTTTTATAAAACGCTAATGGGAAAATATGTGTTTCACAAGTTTCAAAATTAAAAAAAAATATTCTGAAATAACTAAACAAACATTTTCTGAAAGAGTTTACTAAGGGCTTGTTAGGCTTTCACTTGGTTGTTAAATCAATAAGATCCGATAATTTTTAACAAAGTAATTGGAATTCAAACTTACGGACAGCGGAAGGCGGGTGTTTTTTGAAAACGACCCAAACACACAAATTATTTGCTTTTTCCATGTCTGCAATATTGAAATTTTACATGTTTAGATTAAAAAAACAAATTAAGGAATCCAACGATGTTTCAAACTACATAAATTATGGTGGACATTTTAAAAATAAACGATGGTGATGGTAACTCATGTAAAACTTTCTTTTTAACCAAATTCCCGGGAATAACGGGATTTTTGGTTTTAAAAGGTTTTAAGTTTTTTTTTTTAATATTTTGAGAACTGCTGGTTTTTATAATTTATTAATTTAATTTAAATAGGCTTGTAATTGCGCAACTTTTCTCTATTTTAGGAGACCTTGTAGCTCTTCAAATAAAAATAAATAAAACACAATTAATTTGCAATTGAACCAAATTATTATGTATGTACTTACAAATGCCTATTAATTGTTTATTTTTAAATTTAGGGTAGTTATGCAAATATAATCTTTTGTTCCAAATTCAATGGCCTTTCAAAATATGTATAAATATACAGGGTGTTCCATTAAAACAAATATAAATTTTGTGAATATTTCGTAAATCCGACGTTTAATTGTTTTTTTGTTTTCGCCATTTTAATCAGAAGAAAAAATAGCACCAATTTGCTAATTTAACCGACTTTGTAGCTCCAATAATAACGAAGTGGTGAGTAAATAACTTTGGACACCCTGTATACAAGGTGCTTCTACTCAAAATGGACAACGCAATGGAGGTTGTAGTTCAAGACCAATAAATAAATGCGAAATAAATATTTTTCATTTAGTTAAGCTTTCGTTTTTAAATCGACCTTCTTTTGGTTTAAGGTAGTTGTCGTGGTACAATATTGTCAAAAATTTTTAGATTATAATAATAATAATAATAATAATAACAATAATAATAATAATAATAATAATAATAATAATAATAATAATAATAATTATAATATTTATTTATTTCCATGGAACATACATAAATGTTTCACTTGTAATTATTTCGTCTCCGCTTTTGTTTAATTTCGCCAGCATCAGCAGACAGCTGTTTCGATCTATTGGATCTCATCAGTGCCGAGTTGCTGTTTGGTGCGGAACACGAACGAAATTTTGATTGCCCTTCCTTTTATAGATGCAATCATTCAAAGCGGTGAGACGAAAGTAATTTGTCGCCATCTACCGTCCTTCGGTCTTCTATATGTCTTGTCATTTTCTGCACTTTGACATATAGCGTGCTTTACGCCAACTATGACCTAAAAGATGACTTTAGCCTTCGCCGGCTGGGTAATATGTTTAAAAAAAATTTTTTTTATACATAAATGTGTTGAAATAGTCAAAAAAACTAAACCTAAAAACTAAAAAAAGTGCTCTTTTTAAAAACTAGAAAGTCTAAAAAGACAGCACTAAAAATTTACCAAAAAACATTAAGTAAAAAACTCTGATAATGTATAAAAACATTTAGATGGTGAAAGCAATTTTAATTCATATTTAAAAGTATTAATTTTAGAAATTGTTTTAATATTGCGAGGTAGCAAGTAAAAGGCTCTAGGACCCATAATATCTGGAGTTCTTTCACTAATATTATACGCACCGTAAAAGTATACGAGATTGTAGCTAAGTGATTCATAATTTTTTCGCAAGACTGTACCCTGAAGACGTTACCTTTACGTAATACTTTCAAATATTTTCATAAGTTTTAATCCGGCAACTTCGCTTATGCTCAACCAATAGATATATTGGAGAATGAATCAGTCTGTTTGAATTTACTGCGGAAATAATAATAATAATAATAATAATAATGATAATAATAATATATAGTCGCGTACAGCGTTGCCAAGTTGTTTTTATCTGACACTAGTGATGTATACTTTTTACAAATTGTTGAACTTTAAACGGTTATTTATAAACAATTGGACGGTCAAAAATTTTTAATTATTTTTTTTAAACAAAAATACATTAAAAGTCTGTTAGTTTTTTGAAAGCTTCTGACAGTTAGTTTTTTTTTTATAACTAAGAAACTGGTACAGAACTACAGAAAGCGTATACAATCCATTTTAATTATCCAATTTTTAATTGAATTTATCTCGGGTTACATATATACCGTCAATCTACTTCAAATTTTAAGGATAATTGTATTATCATGTCCTTAATAAGTATACAAAAATTTTAAATTTTCTGATTGTATGCTTACAGCACGACAACTACCTTAAATAAACCTTTTTATCTTCGTTATTTATTAAAAAAACAATTGAACTGTTAGTTTAATATCTACTTTTATTTTGCTAAACTTTTTTAACAAAAATATCACCCAACAAAGATATAAAGTTTTATGTAAAAACAAAAGAAGGATAATTAGAAAACAAAAGTTCAAATGAAAAATGTTTATTTGAAAAAAGTCTTAGTCTTATTTACTTTAAGTATAAAAACTCTTTATAATAAATTATACTACTACTATTACTTCTCAAAATAGTTTACATTCTTGATTGAAATGAGTGAACGAATTTCTGCCCTAAACAGAGTAATTAATTAATTTGGTTTTATTAATTGCGGGAACCATGTTATATAACTTCGAAAAACGACCTTTCAAACATATCAGTAGAATGCTAAGGAGGTGTGTTTCTTATAACATTTTTAAGTTATATAACATGGTTCCCGCAAATAATAAAACCAAATTAATTACTCCATTTAGGGCAGAAATTCGTTCACTCATTTTTATCGATTACCTACATTAAATTGTGATATTTAAGTACGACATTATGTTTTGTTTTATTTGTTTATTTGTTTTTTTTTATTAATTAAGGTTTTTTATGTACTTATAAAAATATTCTTTTCTTTCTAAGTTATTTTTAATATATATGTATATAATATATATATAATAACATATATAATATATATATAATAACATATTATGTGTGTGTATGTATATAAATATTATGTTCTATTTGTAATACTTACTATAGGGTTAAGGGGAAGAGCATTAAGCTAAGTAGTCTATAGGGTACTGAACTTTTCCTTTTGTTTGTAATATGTTTTTTACAATCAATAAAGACATTATTATTATTATTATTATTATTATTTTGATATCCTTTAAAAAAAGATTTGTTGAACAAAACGTGATTTCCTAGCATCATCATTTTTGCATTGTTATATTTCTATTTCAGACAAACGTGGGTCCAATTCTATTGTGCGTGAATCCGTACCGAGACGTGGGAAATCCTTTGACCCTGAGCAGCACCAGAGGCTTAATTTTGAGTCCCCAATTAAACAAAGTCGTCCAGGAAGCTGTTAGACAACAGTCCGAAACTGGATACCCCCAAGCTATTATTCTATCAGGTGAGAAACTAAATGTTAATAAAATAATGGAAATTGAGAAAGATTTATTATCGTTCAGTTTAATATATTATGATTATATTAATATGTAAAATAATATTAAGCTATAATTCTTTGTTTTAAATTGGCTTTAAAAAATAAGGAATATAACACAAAAATGCAAATTAATCTGTTACGTAAACTATGAAGAACTACGTAAGCTGTAATATTAATATACCTTAGCCTACGGTCCGTAGGTAATACCTACTAGGTACCGTATTTTTATTTTTGGTTCGGTTTTAACATGATCAACAGATATTCATTTGCCGAGTCACTGCATTATTATTAGGTTAATTTTCTTTTAAAAATGATTCAGATACTTTTAACGGTAAATTATGAATCTAGTGGAAAGTGTTAAATCATTATTTGTTTTGCATTTATTTAAAAAAGTTTTTAAGACATATTTTAAGAAATCTATAGTGCATCTTTTAGCCATCTGTAAAAAAGTATCTGGAATTGCTTTAAAAAACCCAAATTTAGAAAAAAAGGAATTCAAAGCCTTTGAATCGAAGGGACAACATATATTAAAAAGTTCTTTGAGGGACCCAAGATTATTATTAATATTAAAAAAATATTAATTATACAAATAAACATGATACTTAAAGCAAAATATCCCCACACTTATAAAGTAAAAATACTGTGCATGATTCACTAAAAAAAGTAAAAAAAAATAAAGCCGAAAAATACTATCTACATGCAAAAAATGACGTCTGTTGCTGCCTTAAAGGCAAACAAACACACTTTCGCAAATACCTATGTCGGGATTAAAATATAATGTCCTTTATCAAACCCAATTGAAGAAATAATTAATAATACCGTTGAGTGTGCGGAAAAGACTGTTTACTTAATATTACTTTATTTATCATATAGGTGTTTACCGATAAAATGTTTCATGCACTGTTCAAAATTTCATGACCATTTTAACACCAAATTAACACCATACATGGTCTATATCGATACAAACCAAAATGGTGTTAAATATGGTTCGTTGGTCCGGTGTTAATTCAAATACTATTTAACTTTCACACAGTATTAAAATAAATTTTACCTGGTGTAAATTGAACTCCTTTTCAGTGTTAAATATTATGTGTTTGTGGTCAAATTAAATCATACTACACAAAAAAAAAGGAAAAAAAAGAAAACAGGAAGTTCCTTGACGCATTACTGGTATATTACCAGTGGTATTATTCCAGAAAATGGAACCTTCAACTCGCTAGAGATAATGCTTTTAGTGCGTTTCACTAACTTAAAATACTTCAAGTATTGACAGCTATTTCCACCTATTTAAGGTCTCTTTAGTATCGAACAACTTGTAGTGTCACACCAAAGCAAAGGTCTACCTGAGTTTATATATTCTTCATGTAAGTCAACAGAGGCAAGATTTAAGAACATCACGTGATCCACACCACCTTTGCCGCGATCGGTAAACATTTTCAACCATAGTTCATGGTGTTATATTAACACCAGTTGGTGTTGGATTTTAACACCATTTTAAGATTACTTTTTACACCACAGATATTTTAAACAGTGTGTAAAAAAGTAAAAAGAATGTTGAAATTATTAAATTAAATTTAGAAGTACCCAAATGGCAACGTGAATTCAAAATGCGCCCATTGTGCGCGTAGATGTGGAAGGTTTTTAAACATGCGTGCATTTACCTAACCGATGTACGCGCTAGAACTTCTATAGACGCGCACGTGTGCTTTATAAAAAAAAATCCAACAGCATATCATATCGTGTAATTTAAAAATGTAAAAAGGACAGTTTTCAATGTTATGTTTATTAATTACAAAAGAAATTTACAAAAAATTGTTTTATTTTTATCAGTTTTTTATTTCAAAAAATTTGTAAACAAATTTAAGAAACAATCGATAAAACACTACCAGATGATTTATCTGGAGTTGCGTTCATGCTCGAAAAATTTCTGAACACTTGTCTATAGAAACATTTACTACAGTTCTGTTCCATGCATCACGTTCATTACCAAGCATTTTAGTTACTAAGCAAAGCTATAGCTAAAGTTATATAGTTTGTTAAATTATGTCAAAATTTTAAGACCCTAGACTTTAGGGCCTAGAGGGCGACTTCAATAAAGAAGGGAAGAAATGAAGGAAGTGATGAAAGTTACAAAGCAGCTTAACAAAATTTGTTAAGTCATTTAATGACTGATCGAATGAGAATTGAATATTATTAAATGAATATTATTTAAAGCAAAAATTGGAGAATTAACATGTTGAATTCACCAATTTCTGCTTTAAATGCTTGCAATTGTTAAATTTGCTCTTCGGTCAATTGGTAACTGTAACTTTCATCACTTCCTTCATTTCTTTCTAAATTTTGACATAATTTAATTAACTATATAACTTTAGCTATAGCTTTGCTTAGTAACTAAAATGGTTGGCAACGAACGTGATGCATGGAACAGAACTGTAGAAAATGTTTCTATAGACAAGTGTTCAGAAATTCTTACTGTAAAAGGTGAATTTTAAATTTTTATTGACGAAACAATTTAATAATATTAGAACCAATGAAATGCCAGTATTTCATAGTTAGCATTTTATCACACCGACAATAATTGTTATCTACTCCTATTGTATACCTAATATTGTTTTTTTTTTTCGTATTTAATAATACCTAAACATTATAAATGCCCTGCCTAACAACGCGAATAATGAACTATTTATTTACGTTGTTAGGCATCAGTGATTGGCCGATTTCAATATTCACTGTGATTTGAACCAATCGGGCTTTAAATTGGGAGAAGGCGACTACAATAACATTTAAAATTGGTAATATGTAAAGTTAACCATTTGACAAATGTCAGATTTTATTTATTTATTTTTGAAAATTATTTAATTATCCACTTGTTGGAGTAAATAAAGTATAGTATTTATTAAACACTCGCTCGCAAGCTTCGCTCGTGCCTAATAAAACTCGTAACTTAAATGTCGTTTATAAGACTTGATATATAATATAGTATTATCTACTCCTACATTGACGAGCTGTGACCTTATAGCGCTTTAGTCACGGGCTAAAGTTAGCAACAGTGACTTTTGGGCATTTTAGTCACGGGCTGAAGTTGGCTTTATTATAAATAAGGAAAAAGTGACGTTATATCCGTTAAAAGTTGACAGATGTCAAATGTTTAACAAATAAAATTGGCTTAAAATTCTTCTTTGTGTTCGTCGTAGATAAAGAATAGTAAGCAACTCATTTTATAAATATTCTAGATACTCGTTTTTATTAAACACTCGCTCGCAAGCTTCGCTCGTGCCTAATAAAACTCGTAACTAAAAAGGCGTTTATACATAATATACTATTTTACTATTTTACAAAAAGGGCACTTTATTTTAACGATTGTATGACATTTGAAAACTGTCAACTGACTTAAAACTAACTTTAGCCCGTGACTAAAAACATGTTGCTAACTTCAGCCCGCGACTAAAACTCCATAAGCCACAACTTGTCAATGAGTATTTAAAAGGTCGCTTAGTGTCACGGAAACATGTACGATAATATGCGTTTTAAAGGTGGGAGTATAAAAAATAATTAATTCAAAAACTTTGAATAAAAGATTTTTATTAAAGTCTTTATATTAAAGCACCAAATTTCAATTTTAAATGTTAAACTAACAATTTGTTATATCCTTGTTATGTCATATTTGTTTGCGAAATATAGGTAACTCTTGGTATGATCAATAATCGATGACATTTACTCATTGAAACCGAAGCAGCACTTTACTCGTCCTGCCGACTTGTGAAATCTGCATCTTGGTTTCAATTCGAAAATATCATCGATGATAATCAAATACTACTTGTAGGTATTATGGGGGAAAATATATTGGACTAGCTATAGAGAATATACTTTTTTTTTAATACTACTTGTATTTTGGGTGAAAATACATTGGATTGGCTATAGGGTATAATATATATTATAATTTTTGGTCACTTTTAGTTTGTTGATCTTAAAATAATTCGCTATAAAAAAGTTTTTAGTAATATTATTTTGCGTATAACTTTTTAGGTAAGCATTTTTGGTGTTTAGTTACTCAAATAATAACAATTATTGTAGAATTTGATTACTTTTTGTCGTTTTATAACTGGCTTAAATTAAAAAAATAATGGGGATTTTTTCCTTCAAGGTACCAGCGGCTCTGGAAAGAGTCATGCTTCCATGTTGTTACTTCGACAGCTTTTCGCTGTCGCCGGAGGTGGCCCTGAGACTGACGCTTTTAAACATTTGGCCGCTGCATTTACAGTATTACGTTCCTTAGGCTCTGCCAAAACAATTACTAATTCTGAATCAAGTAGAATTGTGAGTACAAACTTCATTCTCCATTAAATTAAATCTAATATGTTTTTAAATTATAGGGACAATTTATAGAAGTCCAAGTGACTGACGGTGCTTTGTACAGAACCAAAATCCATTGTTACTTTCTAGACCAAACCAGAGTTATAAGACCGCTTATCGGTGAAAAAAATTACCATATATTTTACCAAATGTTGGCAGGCTTATCGGCTGAAGAGAGAACAAAACTGAACTTGGACGGTCACAAACCATCCACCCTTAGATATCTGCAAAATGGAGATACTAGACAAAACCTCACTGAAGATGCATCAAGGTACAAACAAAGTTAAAAAAATCACATTTTATAAATTATGTTTTGCTTTAGGTTTCAAGCATGGAAAACGTGTCTCGGAATCCTCGGCATACCCTTTTTGGACGTAGTGAGGGTACTTGCGGCAGTCCTTCTCTTAGGCAACGTCCAATTTACCGACGGCAAGGGCCTAGAGGTGGACGTTAAAGGCGAGACCGAGCTAAACGCCGTCGCTGCACTTTTAGGCGTTTCGGGAGCGTCTCTTTTTAGAGGCCTAACATCCCGCACCCATAATGCCAGAGGTCAACTTGTTAAATCAGTATGCGATGCAAACATGTCCAACATGACTAGAGATTGTCTCGCTAAGGCTTTATATTGCAGAACTGTGGCCACTATTGTACGCAGGGCGAATAGCTTGAAGCGATTGGGATCTACTTTGGGGACTCTAAGTTCGGATTCCAATGAATCTGTGCACAATCAGGCTGAGGTTACGAGTCAGCATGCGTCTACTGTAGGAGGAAGTACTAATGCCGGTAGCAAGTCGATGGCTGCTTTAAATAATGCTGTAAGGCACGCGACCGATGGATTTATTGGTATTCTGGATATGTTTGGTTTTGAGGATCCCAAGCCCAGCCAGCTCGAACACCTATGCATCAATTTATGCGCTGAAACAATGCAGCATTTCTATAATACTCACATTTTTAAATCAAGCATTGAATCGTGCAGAGATGAGGGCATTAACTGCGAAGTAGAGGTGGATTATGTCGACAACGTCCCATGCATAGACTTGGTATCTTCTTTACGTACCGGTTTATTGAGTATGCTGGACGTTGAATGCTCCATTCGAGGCACTGCTGAATCATACGTTACAAAAATCAAAGTGCAGCACAAAAACAACACAAGACTTTTCGACCCTAAACCTTTAGATCCGAGACTCTTTGGAATTCAGCATTTCGCTGGAAAGGTTATCTATAATGCCACCGATTTCCTTGACACCAACAAAGACGTTGTTCCCGATGATTTAGTAGCTGTTTTCTACAAACACACATGCAATTTTGGGTTTGCTACCCATTTGTTCGGTAGCGAATTGAAAGCTCTTTACTCGGTGGAAAACGTTCCTAGAGGCGTGAGTTTCAGAATATCTCCAACATCTCATACTGATCTTTTGAATGGCGACGAACCAGTTTCTACATTGACTCAAGATTTTCACACCAGATTGGACAATTTATTGAGGACTTTGGTCCACGCTAGACCGCACTTTGTAAGATGCATATGCAGCAATCTCAACGAAACTCAAAATAGATTTGATCGCGGTATTGTAGTGAAACAAATAAGATCTCTACAGGTTCTTGAAACTGTAAATCTTATGGCTGGTGGTTATCCGCATAGAATGAGATTCAAGGCTTTTAATTCTAGATACAGATTGCTAGCCCCTTTTGCTAGACTACATAGAACTGACGAAAAGGTGAACGATGATTGCAACCTTATTCTACAACACGTGGTTGATTCCATTATGAAACAGTTCAGTTTGGTTTCGAACAGTTGGGCTTTGGGCAAACGGCATATTTTCTTAAGCGAAGGGATTAGACAACACCTGGAGAGATTAAGAGGAGAAAGAAGGCAAAAGGCAGCCACGTTAATACAAGCAACTTGGAGAGGATGGCATTGCCGTTACAGATGGTCCACCATTCGCAGAGAGAAAGAAATTAAACAGGCCTCAAATCCCACTCCGACCGCAAGGAGCGTACTATGTGGTGCCAGACCAAGACCACAACCAATTGCAGGCACACCACCTCCAGATCCGAATGAAAAATGCGATGCCAAAATCATCCAGCAAACCTGCAATTTGTTTGGGTTGGACTTGGAAAGACCGCCCCCCGTACCACCCAGTAGATCTTACACAGTCGCCGGAAATACAAAGCTGGGTTACCCACAAACAAGGGTTATGAAAATGTCTTACCCAGAAGACAGTGTCGGAGATGGACCGGTCCTCTCCAAAGGCGAAAGCGTACTGGTTGTTGGGGCTTCCCATAGAAGGGGTCATCTAGTGGTCGAACACAAGCACTGCACCTTACATGTGCCCTTCCAATTCTTAGAGCTAAAACAGAGTGTAAATATTTAAGCTTGCCATTTTTATTTAGATAGCGATTTAAGCATTATTTTGTATGTATATTTTATTTTAGTAACTTATTTTATTATATTGAGTAATGCCATATTATTATTTTTTACTTTTTGATAAATATACTTTTTTATATACATCATTCTGTTTTTTATTTCAAAATACTATTATACCCTTTCTCTATGATATTATAATAGGTGTAGTCTCAATTAATGAGAAGGGACAAAAAGAAAATTGGAAAATTTGATTTTTTAAGATTTAAAGTTCAAACTTTGAACGTACGTATTGATTAAACTGTTTTTGATGGTTAGTTATTTTCTGTGTTTCTACTTAATTCAAACTTAAGTCGGTTTCATATAGATTCGAAATGCGAATTTCGAAATACAAATATTTGCATTTCGCAACTCCTATTTTATATATGAAATATATACAGCCCGTTCAGAGTAAAACCGAATATATCTATATATATATGGGGCGTGGCATCGCCTCCCTCCAACGCGCGACACAGTAGCTAAGCAAATAGCCTGCATCGCTAATGAGATTTTTTGCATTATTATCATTTAATTTTTTAAGTCCTTACTTGCTCGACCTTTCGTCATGTCGTTTATCACACAAGCTACTGTGACGCGCCTTGGAGGAAGGCGAGGCCACGCCCCATATATATATAGATATATTCGGTTTTACTCTGAACGGGCTGTATTTATATAGATGCGAACTATTTTAGGGACATTGTTTTCTCACTAGGCGATATTTTTCATGCTATTTTAGGTACTTAAATATATAGTTAGTTAAAGTGACCAACGTAAAATAAGAAACATTAATGTAGGTACCTCAAAAAACTCTTTGCCCCTTATAATAAACAAAAAAAACTATAAACACTTATTTAAACATTTCGAAAAAAACACTACGATACAAACGAAATAAACATAAATGGCGTAGGTTTGATAAGCAATTAAATTAATTTGCATGGGAAACGCATGCGCATCACGCTAAATTGGTGCGATTTTCGTAAGTAATATCATAAGGGCATCTAATTTTTCCGAAAAAAATCGAAAAAAACGTTGCTAAGTAATATTTAAGTAACAAGAAGCATGAGTGCTGGTGGCAACAAAAATCCGAGTCGAAGAGGAGGATTTTTGCACCTGCACGAATGCATTTTGTTAAAAAATATTACTTAGCATTGTGTTTTTTCGATTTTTTTCACAGGAAAAATTAGATGCCCGAATGGTATTTGACAAGACTATTTTATGAGTAACAGTTAACAATTAAAATATAAATTGCAATTTTTGGTGACAACAGCTGTCAAGTTTTGCCGCGGGTAAACTCGAAAAAACTGCTGACAGGTGCTGTCACACAGTTTTTTCACCTAGAAACCATTTGTAATTCAAAATTGCGCGTTTGTAATTGGTGGAAATTAAGACGAGGGAAATAGTCGTCGAAAAGCTTTCTTCGTCAAATCAAATGGACCAATGAAAACATTTTTCGCAATTAGCATTTCGCAACTGTATGAAACCGACTTTAATAGGCAGTTACACAACACAAAACAAGGTCTGTTCTATAACGTTTCACGCATACTAAAAATCACGCAGTTAGGCAACCCACTGCAAAGACTTAAACGACGGCCATTTTTATGTTGTTTACAATTCTTGTGCTTCGGGTTTGTGCTGTTTATACAGATTAATAATCGGTGTTACTGACATTTAACTGTCAAATGTCAATTTTAAAGTTAATTTGTGGGTATGGTAAATTTGTCGTTTATGGTGTGGATTGTGGGTTATGGTGTGGATTGTGAGTTATGGGGTGGAATGTGGGTTATGATAAATTAAACGTGATTTATAGTATGCGCGTTATGTGTGGATTGTGCTTAATTCAAACCCGAGCCTCGTTCAAACCTGCATCATGATAGGCAGTTGTTTCCTTGGAAACTGAATAAACAAATCTACCATTTATTATTTATTTTAAGTGACGCAGCAGTCAATAATATAACCTCTATAATATATTACATATAAAAACATACATAAATTATGGAATTATTAGATCCATGTGCTGAATTGTTACCAAGGGTAATTAATGCCAAACTTTTAAATAAATGTATCGACGAACAACTGCCTCTTGGAGAACCTGGAAGATTGGCCAGATTGGACGGTGTAAAATTTGAAGAACTCGGCCAAATTAGATTGGAATATTTAAGTACGTATTCTTTCTTGCTGTTAAAGGCTTTTTTATATTGATTTTTTTGCAGATATTTTAAGAATTGATTCATTGTGGCTTCTAAAATCCCTTACTAAATTAAGTTTAAATAATAACTACATAGAAAAAATCGAAAACCTTGAATCTTTAATACATTTGGAGCAATTAGATTTGTCTTTCAATAAAATATCTAAAATTGAAAATTTGGAATATTTGGTGAAACTAGAAAAATTAAGTTTTTATGAAAATCTTATTGAAAAGGTGGAAAATATGGACACATTAAAAAATTTAAGGATTTTCAGTATAGGAAAAAATAACATTTCAAATACGAACAACGTAATTATTTACTTTATTACCACGTTTCTATTTTTTTAATTATACAGAATGTCCCCGGATTGACTTAACAAGAGAAAAAACTTTTTTATTATTAACTTTTCAAGAAAAATGCATTTCTCATAAAAGTTTTTGCTTGTTTTGCAAACTAAAAATCACACCAACTGCACAGACTCTAACGGCGGCCATTTTTATGTTGTTTACAATTCTTGGGCTTTGGGTTTGTGCTGTTCAGTGGCGGCTGGTAGATTTTGGATAATCCGATATCTCAATTATTAGATATGGGACCCACACCAAATTTATATGAGTTTATATTGACATTAGATAAACAAGTCCTGCGCAAGCAAAATTTAAATGAAGTTTTCGAAAGAATATAACTTTTTGCTCGACCGTACCAGCCCTATGGCGTCCCCAATAAATATAATATAAATTTCATGGGTGCAAATTATTATTTAGCATAGTTTATCGACAAATCTCAAATTTTATTTAAAAATCCAAATCATACAGATTTTATATCGTTTTAAATTTTTATTATTTCTTTGAAAAAATATTAAACCTTTAAAATGGTATAAAATCTGTATAATTTGTGCCTACGTGTAATGGTGGGTAAAAGAGTTGTTTAAAGAAGTGTCTCTATTTAAAGTGCCAGAGAACAGATTAATTTTTTGGCAAAAGAAAATACCGCGTAAGGACAGACTTCTTTCGAAGAAAGATTTTATTTGTAAAAAACATTTTAATAATCAACATATAATTAGAGAAGTTAAAACTGAATTGTATACGGTAAGTATCAGGTAAAATGGGTAAAATTATTTTATTGGCATTGTAAATAAAAATTATGATACCTACTACATAATAATTATGTATTATCATAATAAAAATTAATATACAAATTATTTATTTTTAAATTAAACTTTTTTATATTTTGGAAAATTAAAATGATAAAATTTTAAATTAAAAAACTTCAGTACCCCTTGAAAATCCCTAGATTGCCTGACGATGTAATGCCCACTATATTCCCAGGATGTCTCGCCTATCTCTATAAAGCGATCAAAAAGCGAAGGATAATTATTAAACAGCCTTCAGTTGTGAAAAAGCGTCAAAAAATACATAAAAATCTAAGCCAGAATCATCAATGTAAGTAATCAAGGTATTCGTTATTTCTTAAGTCGGCTTATTCACTTGGGTTACCCAAGTTGGGTATCATCTAAATTATTTTTTTACAATCTAAAAACAATTTTGGTAAAAAAACATTTTTCGATGTCCTTTACCTAAATTATAAGTTTAAAATATAAGAACATTCATAACTTGCTAATAAATGGGAAAATGCAAAAAAAACGTGGACAATTTTAAGCTTTACAAAAAAATAAAAAGTATTATTTTTATCTGTTTCGGTAAGCACGTGCTTTTTAGTTGAATACCGCAGAGCGCCCTCATTCTCAAGCAGCATTATCTGAACTAAAAAGTTTCTATATAGAGTCATTCCAAATAAAAACACCAAATGGGGTGCGCTGCGTGATTTTTTATTTTGATGAAAAAATTTGAGGATGATCTTTTAGGTGTCAAATATGAAAATCCGTTGCCGTTTTAATTTTTTGTTGCTTTACTTTTATTTGGCACCCCTTAGAAGTCTCAAATAGTGTCAATTTCTTACTCTCTTATAGTGGGCAAAACTTTTTTTATGTGACAAATATTGAAATAATTTTAATTTTGTTTAACTGTCCAGTAAGTGTGTTTTCGATATAAATTATTATTATCCAATTAGTTAATCTCATAAAAGAATGGTAAACCACTAAAGATTCATGATAATTTGCCAATTTTTGAGATTTTTGTCTGGCTCCTGTGCCTATTCTACTGAATTTAGAAGGTTCATTTTTTTCAGGTATAAAGTACTTATACAATAGAAAACTTAACTATTATTTTAAGTTTCTAGACTATCAATTTCTTTATTAAAAAAATTATTGAAAATTGATAATTCTCAAAATTAGCCAATTTTGCCCTCAGAAATCATTATGTTGAGGAAAAAATAAAAATCTGAAACTTTCAGGAAATGTAGTCCCCACCTTCATCTTTTCAGTCCAGTTAGTCTTGTTTTGTTATTTTTATTCCTTTACCCAAGTTGGGTATCATCTAAATTATTTTTTTACAATCTAAAAACAATTTTGGTAAAAAAACATTTTTCGATGTCCTTTACCTAAATTATAAGTTTAAAATATAAGAACATTCATAACTTGCTAATAAATGGGAAAATGCAAAAAAACGTGGACAATTTTAAGCTTTACAAAAAAATAAAAAGTATTATTTTTATCTGTTTCGGTAAGCACGTGCTTTTCAGTTGAATACCACAGAGCGCCCTCATTCTCAAGCGGCATTATCTGAACTAAAAAGTTTCTATATAGAGTCATTCCAAATAAAAACACCAAATGGGGTGCGCTGCGTGATTTTTTATTTTGATGAAAAAATTTGAGGATGATCTTTTAGGTGTCAAATATGAAAATCCGTTGCCGTTTTAATTTTTTGTTGCATTACTTTTATTTGGCACCCCTTAGAAGTCTCAAATAGTGTCA